AGAATAAGAATAGGAAGTAATTAATATTCAAGGAAGAAGTTTAGAGAAAATAACTCACAACTTACAAATCATTAAGCTTCAAAGTAGCAAAACCAAAATGGAAGAGTTTAGCTCCTCATTTGGAGACTAAACATGATAAAAGTATAAAGAAAGAACTTGTCTAAACTGAGCTTAGAAGTATATAGGAATTGGTGCCTTTCTTGTGGAGGAAATGGGGTGTATTTATAGGCTTTTTAGGCCTGCAGGGTCGTGTACCCGATCGGGTTTTCAGCTCGACCGATCGGGTAAGGGTTAGTTTCCTCGAAACTGAAAATCTGGGGTCATACCCGATCGGGTATGTCGGCTACCCGATCGGGTATGGATACGCGATCGAGTTAAAAATCTTCCTGCATGTTGCCTTGTTCCCGGGTTGATTCGATTTGACTTTTCAGCAACTTACCCGATCGAGTATAGGGTATACTCGACCGGGTACAATACCAAAAATCAGGATCTTCATTTTGTTTTGGAATTTTTGCACCTTCCTTCCACTTGTGATGTTCACCAATGGTCCCTAGAGTGGTCTTGGACCTGTTTGAGCTCAGAACAAATCTAATCTAAACAATTTACAAACATTTTACAAACTAAACTATTACACCAAAAGTGTGTAATTTCTAGAGTAATAATCACTCAAAACTAATCAAAAGCACAAACATAAACATGGAAATAACATGAATGTCAGAGGTTCCAAGTCAGACATAGCTTGCTTTTCAAAAGGATAAATACTCACACATTCATCAGAAGAAAAGACAAGTTCAGTTGTTGCGTAACTTTTGTTTAAAGCAGTGTAATCAAAAGAAATATGAGCTTTTGTGTTGTTTGTTCTTTTCTCAACCTCAAGTTCAGCCGTTTATTTTGCCGCAGTGAAAAACATGAGCTTGGTCAGACTGAATCCCATGTAGTTAGCATCATATAGTTGTTTACATTTCACCTTTTTCAGGTTGCAAGGATTCGATTGACCAAGACCTTCTTTGGAATTATAGAAACGGGTATCCTTGGGCTGGTTTAAGAATATTTTTTATTCAGTTTGATCACGACTAGCTAAAAGATCCTCGAGCTCCTTAATCTTTCTATAAAGAGCACATCTTTGATCATGCAAAACCTTTTTCAACGCGATTGTTTGATTGAGCTATGTCTTGGTATCACTCAGTTTATGAGTCAAGTCTGTGATTTTAAGTGTCAACTTGTCTGCTTCTAAAGTCATTTTTTCAACCTTTTTTGTAGATTCTTCGAATTTTATGGATAGGTTGGCATTTTTATTCAAGTTCTTAAGTAAGACTTTATGATTGTTGTCAAGTCTCGCCTCAAGTTCCTTAATGATCTTATCCTTTTCAAGTAAAGAATGATTTTTGCAATTACAAGAACATGAGTCGTTAGAAGGACTTACATTGCTGTTTGAGCCTTCACTTTCATCATCACCGGGGATCACAGCATCACCCTTTCTTTCATCTTTCTCCACAACAGCCATTAGAGCTAAGTTTCTTCTTCCTCATCTGAAGAATCATCCTCAATCCCATGGTTCTTCTCAGCTAGCAGTGCAGCGCTCTCATCATCTTGCTTTGTCATGAACATCTTCTGTTTGTTCAGGAGCATTTTCTGCTTATAGTAGTTGAAGTCCCTCCTTGGTAAGCGACAATCTTTGATGAGATGTCCAGCTTTTCAACAGTTAAAACATTTGGGAGGTTCTTCAGCTGCTACTACCCTTTCTGAGGTATTTTGCTCAAACTGCTTTGGTTTGTAGTTGGATGAGGAGGTTCTCAGCATGTTGGATGAATTGTTCTTCTTGAAAAACTTTCTGTTGTATTGACTTGTCAATAGCGCCATTTTTTTCTGCAGCTCTGCCAGCTCAGACTCCACATCTATCTCGTCATCACTTCCATCATCTTCCTCAGATACCATGACAACTTTCTTCTTCTATTGAGTCTTAGATGTACTCCTCGTCTGAGTTTCCATCACTAGAGCAAGTGGATCAGCAACTAAGTTTTCATCAGGTTCTGCAGTGTCATTCATGAATTGTTGGAGATGGTCATGGATGGTATAAAGGTCAACTTCATCTAGGTCCAAATTTTGTCTTATGTTCTTCACTGTTCTCTTCCATTCAGGGCTTAGGCTTGAAAGAAAACGTATGTTCAACTCCATGTTGGCTTTGTTCACGTTGATCTTTCGCAAATCATTCACAAGCTTAACAAATTTGGTATACGTCTCATGCAGAGGTTCACCGGGTCTGGCCTTGAAGGAATCATAGGCAGTGAGAGTACTTGCCTTCTTGGTTTTCAGACCTAGATTGGTTCCTTCCATTAGTTTTCTTATCTCATCCCACATCTCCTTAGCAGAATCCGTGCTATCTATCAGGATATAGATGTCGTTGGGAATTGCTTGGAGCAGGTATGTCTTTGCCATCAAATCGGCCTTGATTCTCAATCTATCTTCTTCAGTATATTCTTCAACAGCCTTAGGTACTCTTACTGGTTCAACGGGGGGCTCATTATCATTGTCACCTCCAAGTGTCATCCAAAGCTGAGCAGGTCCCTCAGTCAGTGATTCCAGCATGGCTGAAGAGTTGTCTTTGCTTTCCAGAAAATTGAGAAACATGTTCTTCCACATCACGTACTCATCTCTCCTAAGAATCGGGGGTCTGTTGTCGTTTCCCATTGAAAGAGCATCCATTTCGCTGTTCTTAAAAAAGTGACCGTTCGAGTGATTGATCTGTCAGAAAGATATCTCTAAGTATGGATTATCGAGAAGTGAAACTTCAAAAAGTAGGTTCGAGAACTTAAAAGTTCGAGAAAGATTATCGAGAAGTAGGTTTTCGATATTTAGACTTCGAAAAATATGTTTTCGATAAAGAGGTTCGAGAAGTGAGATATCGAGAACTCACATATCGAGAAGTTCAGTTCGAGAACTGAACTTTTCGAGATTCTGTTTATCGAGATCTGAAGTCGAGAACTTGTAAATCAAAAAACAGATTATAACAAGGGTAAATATCGAGAAGTTACTTAGTTCGAAAATCTAGTATCGAAAACTAAGTTCTCGAGCTTAATGTCGAGATCATCATATCGAAATCCTGCACTTAAAAATTTTCAAGGATCTTAAAACGAAGACTGCTGCTGAAACGTTCTGAATATCGAGAAACTTCCTGTATCAATCTGACCTTGAGAAACCTGCTTAAAGTATCGAAGATTACAGATATAAAAAATAAAGATATACTCCTGGTTCGTTTTTGAAAGGCGAATCCAGCAGTACAACTTTTACAAAGAAATGTCCAAAAACAAGTTTACAAAAGCAGATTTAAGAAAAACATCGAGAAGCTGAAAGACAGAGTGTTTCTTTGCAGTTTTTTTAATGAAGATCAGTACCCGATCTGCTCTGATACCAGTTGTTGGTCCCGAACAATGAGATAATCGAACAACTAAATGATATCTACGATAATATGAAGAAGGATTTTTGATAATGATCGAGAAATATTCTGAACAGAAGAAATCCTTACTCTATACTATCGAGAACTTTGGAAAGGGAAAGGCTGTATTCGAGAACTCTATTGCTGAAATATATGGTGATTATTCGATCATGTACCACACGTACGCATATTTATAAGTGTAGGTACACATATCGAAATGGTAACCTAGAAATCCGGGCCTAGGGCCTTTTTGGGGCCTATTCCCATAAATGGTTTATTCATTACATAATAATAAATGCTACTCCGTATTTATACTAGTCAAATAAACAAGACAATTGACAAACTTGATCACAATAAATATTTTCCTCAACAAATTTTGTGAGCTTGTTTTTCATGAAATATAGATTATGTCCACAAAATTTGAGCCTAAAACTAAATCGGTAAGTCACTTAAAAAACTATTGAAAAACACTATGCTAAATACATATAAAACACAATGTTTTTCAATATTACATTTAACTCACCTCCCGATTGACTTTTTAGCTGAAATTTGGTGGATATTATCTACACTTCATGTAGAACACTTTCACAAAATCTCATCAAAAAATTCTACCCGGAAGCACCTCAAATGGATGTGGCCAGACGTCGTTCTGCGCAGAAAACTCTTGTCATGAATATCTAGCTTGCATAATATACCTTACATATTGTGGACTAGACAAATCCGAGTAGTTGTTATTTTATTAATTTAGTCCACTTATATATTTATTATTTGTTTTTAATTATATTTGTTATTTGAGTTCACCTAAAAAGGGAATTAAAATTCCGTTGATTACATGTCAATTAGTAAATTAGTAATATTACTTGTCAATTGATTACTACTCGAGTACATACTTTTTACTTATGATGCATTGCTAGTAGAAGAATTTATTTTGGAGTTGAATTACCTGCTATTAGATGTGTACCTTGGAACTACTAAACTTTTTTGCTTCACAGTTGATGTCTACTTTAAACATTTATGTTTTTGTTATCTTTAAATTTATCTTGGATATTTTTTTGGATATTTGAACTGGAACATCATGTACTCCGTATGATGTAATGGTCATAATTTTTTATTTGAAATTTAATTTTTTTATGTAGCTCAAGGAAAAATGTGTTTATTTTATGAGGATAATAAGTTTTTACAAGGAACCGAAAAAAGGTAAGAACCGAACCGAATTTAACTAGAACCGAACCGAATTTAACAAGTACATTTTTAATTGGAACCGAACCGAATTTGACACATACAATTTTTAATACGGTTCCATCGATTTTTAACAGGAACCAAAGTAATATCCAAAGTCGGGTCATGTCATGTCATATTTTGTCTAACTAGTATATCACCCGTGCGATGCACGGTTTATAATTTGTTTTTTAATTGTTTGGTGGAAACAATAAAATAGGCATAATTGTTACGCCAAAACATATATGATGTAGCAAAAACGATTTATGTTCAAGACAAATTTAAGAAAAAATTTAAGATACGGAGTATATGATAAATCTGTATAAAAGCTGTTGGGCACATATTATATCATTATTTCAAATAGAGGATTAAGTATCGTAAAACGTTGGGAAGTACAAAAGAAATTGATAAAGAGAATAACGTTACATAAATGACTATAATGTAACTCTACACATTGTTGAACACTTCCTTGAAAACAACTTTTTGAGTCATATCTGTGGTGCTTCCGACCTCATCACAAATTAATATTTTCAGACCCTGACGATTTGTAACCCTTGAAACTGCAACATACAATTGTCCGTGGGTAAAGACGGTTTTTTTTAACAACAATCCTACATGTGACAACGATTGACCTTGACTTTTATTTATAGTCATAGCATATGAAGTCATAATAGGAAACTGTCGTCGCTGAAACTTGAATGGCAAGCTTGAATCAGAAGGGGTCAAAGACAATCTTGGAATTAATACTTTTTTGCCAGCACTTACACCAGTTAAAATTGTTTCTTCCAAAATATGATCTCCCAACCTCGTTAGAATAAGGCGAGTTCTGTTGCATAATCCCATCGAATGATCTATATTCCACAAAAGCATTACAGGAGTTCCTACCTTTAACGTTAATTCATGATTTGGTACGCCAGAAAATTTGATGCTATTCAAGAATTCTGGTGTATGCAATTCGGTCATCAAATCGGTCGTGCAATCGAACTTTGAAACGCTGTCTGAATTAAGATAGGTTCTCGAAATCTCACCAACATTGAGTGATGTCATATATTCATTTACGACCTCAACAACAGCCAGTGTGGGTGCCGGCTAGAATTGCACGATCACGCAAAGAACTTAAATTCTATGTCGATTCAACGTACTCCGGGAAGATGCTTTGAACAATTGCAACTATAAGATCTGGGAAAAGTGACTAAGATCGAACTGGATAAGCATTAATTTTTTAAAGGAAATTAATTGTTCCTTTAATGCCTTGGCTGATAGTAAAATCTATATCTGTTTGAAGGATTTTGACATTAACGCACGAAGATTAACTGATAGTTCAAAACTAACGTAGAGCCCGTTTGGTAGAACGAAAATCGGCTGTTTTGGCTGATTCTGCTAAAATTTATGAAGTTCTGGCTGAAGTGCCTGCATTGGCTGATTCTGTTGATTTAAGAAAAAGTTATTTTTAAAATATATGTATTAATAAAATAAAGAAAAAATCAGTGTAAAAATAACTAAAATGATCATCTACAGTAACTTCGGCCAATACAGCCATAAAAGTAACTTCAACCTTACTTTTTCTGTTTATTACATAATTCAGCGTGCGAAATCAAAAGTTACTTGTATGGTGAAAAAGTTGCCTGATAAGCCTGATAAGCCAAAAAACAGTGTTGTCAAACGGCCCCAGAAGTGTCTATTCAACCCTTTTTTACAGAAGTAGACATCATGGGTATATTAATGAAAGATGATTTATTTTTTAATTTGTTGTGCCCATGTGTAACAAAAAATTTAATACTCTTCCCGTTCGAGAAAATTTACCCAATTTGATTTGGATCGGAGTTTAAGAAAGTGAGAATAAAGTGAAAATGTATGATTGTAATTGAGTAAAAAAAAGTAAATAAATGATAGTCACACAAACCTTTCTAAAAAGGGAAATGAGAAGAATTTTTTGGAACATCTGAAATAGGTAAGTGGGAAGATTTTTTTGGAACAGAGGTAGTAATTTTTACTTAGAAGCCCATCTATTGCAAATATGAAAAATTACATTTCTAGCTGTCAAATACTACCAATACAACCTGTCAAAACACAACCTTGAAACCCATAGAACTCACCTCTGTGTTGGATACAGAAACATGGAGTGACAGCACCCTTGGGTCTGTGTTCATCCTCAGAACACTGAAGTTTTGATTTCCCCGGTAGTTGCCACCCTCCTTTTTGTACTATACCCGAAATGGAGCTTTAATGTCCATGAGGGCATTAATCTCAGCAGGGAAGTAGTGGGGACCAAAGTTCCTCTACCTAAATAGTGTGCAAGTGTCGTTTGGAGCTAATAACAGGATTATATGATTTCATAAACAACCCAAAAAAGGATGTTACCTTAGAGACCTGATCTTTTAAGGATGTAGCTGACCTCCCGATCAAACAGAAAACCTCGCTCCCTATGTAGGAACGAATATGGAGCTAAATATAATGAAATTAAATTGTAAAAGAAGGGAAAGAATACAAAACACAGTTGACGACCTCTTCATCGTGAACATTCGCGGTAAACGCGGGTGGCTCTGGCCTTTATGGCCCAGGTCGTCTTGCTTTGGTCCATTTCTCAAAACAATTACCACATGCCAACCATGTTTAGAATTTGTTTTACTGCTATTGAATATCAGACTGGAACTTGAGAACGATGGAGAAAAATGCAATCTGGAGCAGTTCTTTTATAGGGTAGCATGTACGAATGGTTTGCGAAAAAACTGCTTGCCCATACCATTTCACTGTTTGCCCGCCCATTTCTACCAATACAAAGGCAGCCAGCAAAATTAGTTCTCAAAGTTGATGTACAGTACCCACCTCAATATTAACCAATAGGAGGCTCAATTCATTTTGTTACTGTGCTCTTCCTACCAATACAAAATCGGGTCACAAATTTGATGTACAGTACACACCTCAATTAACCAATAGGAGCCTCAATTCCTTTTTGTTACTGTGCCCATCTCATGCCTCGACCAATATTATCCGAACCCATAACTTCATTCCATTACGTGGATGTAACCCCTAAAGAAATTAAAAAATCAACACATGAAGTGGACAGTTCTGGGCGGGAAGAACATGCATCGAAATTCTTTTCCTTTTATATAGTAATAGATGCAACTCTACCGGTAATATCTCTAACATTACAATTTTTTATGACACTATTTTGAGATAATTCTCAAAGAGTAAAACATGATAAAAAGTCAAAAATAAGACTAGTGTTTAAATTTTCAAAATAGGAGTTTTTTTGTAAATGAACAGAAGTACCCCTGTCCTGGCTAGGGTAGTAATTGCCACTGCCAACTTCCAAAATTCTATCACTATGACATTGCCGTCGCCGGACATCTGAGTTCCGGCGGGGCAAAAAAAAATCATATTGTTTGCCCCCAGTCTGCCTATCACACCCACCAGTCACCGGAGCTCTACCGTTGCCATCGTTGATTTGCGCTGTCACCAATGGACTAACTGATTTCCAAGGAAACTAGGGGCAATTAATCAATTATAATAGAGATATTATGGGTAGAATATTAATGTTTACTCCTATTTAGAGAAAATTAAGGGTTGACTCATATTAGAGAGCATCTCCAATGTCACAATATATTAGTGATAGATAGACACACAAATATAAGTAAGCAAAATATATTTCTCCTTATTTGAGTGGTTTTATGTACGGCTGAGCACGGGTCGGGTTCGGACGGGTCGGGTCTGCGTACGCTAAACCCGTTCGGGTTTTTTAAGTTAAATACTAGGCCCGACCCTTTTGATATTTCAAATCGGGTTTTGCGGATATTTGTAAGTCAGATATCGGATCGGGTTTCGGATATTTCGGTTATATTAAAAAAAATTATAATTGGATAATTAAAGTGTTTGAATGCCCCTTTGACAAAAATTCTACAAACTAGTGCACTAAACATTCAAATTACGCAAATAATTTAATACAAATTGCATAAATAATTACACAAATAATTACACACAAGTATTAATTTAATATATTCAAAGTACACACTACATAATTTAATATATTTCGAATATTTCGGTTATATTAAAACACATTATAATTGGATAATTAAAATCTTGGAATGTCACTTTGACAAAAATTGTACACACTAGTGCACTACACATCCAAATTACAAAAATAATTTAACACAAATTGCACAATTAATTACACAAATAATTGAACACGGGTATTAATTTAATATATATATTCAAAGTACACACTAATATATTTCGGATATTCGGGCGGGTCGGGTTGGGATTTTACAAACCCTACCCGCCACCCGATCTAGGCCCAATACTAATCGGATTTTCGGTTTCAGGTTTTTCGGGTCGGATATCCATTTCAGTTCAGATATTATCCAGATATTATCCAAAAAAAACTTCGGGTTTTGCGGGTCGGTTCGAGTTTTGCTAAGCCCTAGTTTTATGGGCGTGTTTAGCATTTAGCGGTTAGCGGATAGCGGATTATGTTAGCGGATTGTCAATAGTGGATTCAGTCAGCGGGTTTGACTAGCGGAATAAGTTGGCGGGTTGTGAGAAGATGTCAATTTAGCTGTTTAGCCATAAAATTAGTAGAAAACGCCATATTTCAAAACGCTAACTCAAAACTCTCCTATTTGCAGCGTTATCATTTCAGCGTTTTTGGCTAAAAACGCCAATGTCGAACAGCTGCTTACCAAACAGTTTTTTCACTTATTGAAAACGCTAAAAGTGGTCAAACCGCCATTTTTCGCCCAAATGCTATTTATCAAACACCCTATATGTTTTTATAAGTTTTTCTAAACAATGTCAAGAAGAATGTCTAGATGTACATATTGTGGTTGACATTATAGTCGAAATTATATAAAATCTTGGAAAAAACAGAGGAATGTCAATGATTTTTTTTATGTGTCTATCTATTTCATGCCTGGAGAACGTGTATATTGTAGCACTCAAGATGTAAAGGCAATTACAGTAGTTACTACGAGTATGATATTGGTATACGAATATGCTTTACTCGTACTTTGAAGTTTGAATTCCTTTAATTTACATCTAACAGGAGATAACTGGGAGCTTGTCTCTCAATCAAAAACGGGCAGTTCTGTAGAATGGAATGTCAAAGTGACAAACGCAAAAACAAACGAAAAAAAGCTGGAGGGATATCTGAAAGAGGTTAAAGAGGGGCTACAATGTGAAGCGAAAGATATCAAGTCCAAAGAGGTAAACACGTAAATATTTAAGAATCTATTTGATAACATTGATATTAGTTGAAAGAATTAGTTGAATCGGTTGAAATTGATGAAATTCTGATTGAACATGTGCAATTGGCTGAATAATGAAGAAAAATAAAAAAAAAATTAATAATAAAATAAAGAAAATATTATACATAGCTAAAATGATAAATTTAGTCAATTTATTCGGAGAAGTAATCTCAATCTTACTTAATTTTATTATTACACGGTTCATTGTGCACTAACAAAAGTAAATGTCTAGAAAAAAAATGATAGACACAGCTGATAAAGTGAAAATATGATTTATTAAACGGGCTCTAATTATATAGGACCATTCTTGGTGTACACAAATTGTACACAAAATGTGTACAAATTGTCTATGTAGACAGACAATTTGATATCAAATTCTGCCTTTTTTTAAAGAGTTAATGACCTATCTAGGACTAAAAGTATATCCATGTGCATAAATAGGACCGAAAATGTTAACCGTGTTTCATAGGACCAAATTCACCACCCATGGACAAAATTACCCCTGTTTTAATTTTTTGAATTTTAAAATTGTACGGAGTAAAATAAAAAAACTGTTGAAACCCTAATGTTGCAACTGCAAGCTGCCAGACGTGGATCTGCTACCACCAGATCTGGATCCGCCACCGCCCCTCGCCAACACCACCGGCACCGCCCTCGCCACCATCGTTGTTGCCACCGCCTTCCACCGACATCGCCGGAATAATCTGGCGCCACACCCCTCATAGGCGCCACCGTACGACGCCTCTTCGCCGGTGCCACCATCCATCGCCGCCTAGTGGTGTCACCCCAACCAAATCTGCAATTCACCGCCTTCTGTGTGCCATTGATCCCCACCTCCTAGCACCATAGCCGTCGTTGCAACTCGCCATACATCTGCCACTATGTTGGCAGATTTAGCCTTGAAAAATAATATCAAATCTGGCAATCTGCCATGAATAAGGTTTTTCGTTTCTGCCATAAAGTTGGCAGATCTAACTTGGAAACTTAACACGGAACTGTCATAAATTTGGCAAAAATATGAAAGTATTAAACAAATATTCGGAAAAAATAGTGAAATAAGCACTTCAATACAATCGAAATACGAAGTATAAAAATACGAAGCTAATGACAACAAAATCAGAAAATCCAGTGTATACAAAAGCATTTTTTCCATAATACAATTGTGAGTGTACATATTTCTGCCATAAACGTGGCAAAATATGAAACCATCATCCAAAATTTTGGAAAATCTGACCTTTTTAAAAAAACTAAAGAAATCAGGAATCAGAAATCAGAAAATACAAAATAGAAATGTGAAAATTAGCAAAATCGATGTCAAACCCTAGAAAAACATATGAAAAAGGAGGAAAATCGGAAAATCAATATCAAATCTAAGAAAACAGAGGAATAGGAGGAGTAGGAGGAGATCAAGGAAGAAGAAGGAGAAGGAGAAAGAGAAAGAGGAGAAGGAGGAAAAAGAGGAGGAGGGAAGAAACCTGTGATGTGCGTGGTGAACTCGCTAGTGACGGCGGTGGTGGCATGTGACGGAGACTCGGCGGCTGTGGTCTGCGATGCACAGAGAGAAGTCGCGGGGAGGAGTCGATCTATTTCGTAAGCGCAGGGAAGAAAGTCGATCGATGAGTTCAAGAGAGAGAGGGGAAAGGAAAGGAATATAATTTTAGGTATTAATTAAAAGAAGGGTATTAATGGTATGAAGTTTTATTATGTTTCTACATGGGACTAATATAGTCCTATTTAAAGAATAAAAAGCTTAAGGTCCTATTAGTGAATTTTCATTAAGTTTTAGTCCTATTTGGGACAATTATTTTTTAAACGAATTGTCTGTGTATACAGGCAATTAGGGGATTTTGTGTAACTTTGAACATAATTATAGTAACTAAAAGTTATCAAATCTCATTTTTGTCTGTAACTCTTAAAAGAGTAATATTAGTGGAATTGTTATTATTAAATGACAATTTTCCTAAAATATTACTAAGAAAAAAGTCATAGACAAAAATGTAACTTAGTAACCTTTAGTGACTATAATTGTGTTCAATGTTTCTATCGTAGTCACTATACCGTAGTAACTTTGAACACAATCATAATCACTAAAAGTTACCAAGTCACATTTTTGTCCACTACTTTTCAAAGAGTAATATTAGTGGAATTTTTTCTTATTAAATTTGTGATTATTATTAATTTTTATTCTATGGTATTGAAACCTATGTTGTAAGAGCCGGACCGGCCGGGTCGACCCGGAACCAAATCCGGTCCGGTAGACTAGTGAACCGCAAATCTCTCCGAACCCGGCATTACCCGGTGACCCGGGTGACCCAAACCGTATCCGGAATGGATTAAACACGGATTTCAGATGAAAATCGGAATTAGACACAAAACTCATCTACAGGGATTCGATCCCGCGTGCGCAGGCTGAGAGTTTGATTACCATACCAAGGGACTGCTTTTGCGTGTTTGCTAAAGTTTCACTTTTGTTCTATTTATCATTTCTGTCTAAGTTATTTTGGGTAAAGCATCATTAAGTATTTATTACGGAGTAGTTTGGAATTAATAAATCTCTCCAGCCCCTATCGTCTTTTTAACCAGAATGGTGCTCCAACCTTTTATCATGATTAATTAATGCTTTTAAAGATTGTAATTAGTAATTAATAATTGTAATAAAACCGTAATAAATACGTAGTACTAATTCTATTCATACTATTAACTATTAATTACTAATTCTATAAATACGTAATAAATCCGTAATTAATATAAGTGCATATACCTTATGAAAAATATTTTTTATTTTTTTAATGAGTGTTATATTCGTGTTTGTCATCCATCTAAGTTTGAATATATTTTCCATTTTGTTGGAAATGTATGTTTTAGACTAATAATTTTGTCGTCAGGGTTGACCGGGTTTTCCGGCATTGACCGGATTGACCCGTGACCCAGTCGTTCAGCCGGGTCGTCCTCCGGTCCGGTTTTTATATCATAGATTGAAACTTGAAAGTTGATACAAAATGAGACAATGTTAATTAAGCTACGGAGTATATGTTTCTCAGACAGTCAGACAATACAATAATGACTCTTTAATTTTACAAAATGGTAGTCTGGCCGTTTGGGAAGGGACATGTTCTTCTCAATAACTACGGCGTATTTTGTTCAGATCACGCTCAGTACGTGCCAATTGATATAAATACTTACCCATCGTTTTTTAGTTGTAACAATTATATTTTTCACCTTTGACAACATAAAAATTTAACAATTAACATATTTAATTCATTATTAGTAAAAAAGTTTTAAAAATTTGAAAAACTAGAATGAGGAGAATTTAAAATTATTTTTCAAAAAAAAAAACATTTATAAATTATCAAAGAATAAGATGTAGTTACCATAAAAAAAATGAATAAGATATTTTTATTTATGCTTATTTCAGTTCCGGACCATACCCGATCAGACCATATTTAAGCAAACAAGATCGAACAAGATCAAACTATAACAGTTGTACAATACAATATATCAGACCAGTTCATACCAAACCAGATTTAAACAAAACATACGAGATAAGAAAATTTTATTCCAATTAAAAACATGGTTAAAGTATGTTTGAATTTTACGGGTAGGAACAGGATATAGTAAGTTTTCCAGATTATGAGCCCGTTTGGTAACACTGTTATTCGGCTTATCGGCCAATTTTTTCACGAAACACGTAACTTTTGATTACACGGGTTGAAATATGTAATGATAAGAAAAAGTAAAGTTGGAGTTACTTTTCTGGCTGTTTCGGCTAAAGTTAATGTAGAGGACCATTTTAGCTATTTTTACATATAATTTTTCTTTATTTTAGTTAATAAAATAAATTAAGTCAAAACTTTTATAAATTTTACATTAAATTTTTTCATAAATTAGCAGAATCAACCGACACAACCACATAAGTCAGAACTTCATAAATTTCAGCAGGATCAGGTGATTCAGCCGATTTCAGCGTTACCAAATGGGCTCTATATGTGATGATGGATGTTTGTTAATAATGAATGTTATGATAGACGATTTTGTTTTTGAAAGGGTGATGATAGACTATATTTATAATCCGGTTTTACAATTTACACTTGTACGTTAATATAAATTTTTTCAATTTTAAAAAAATTGAAGAACGGAGACGGCAAAAAGAGTAAAACGGACGGCAACGGAGAGGGCGAAAAGAAGAGCGGCAATGGAGACGCGAAAAAGGAGGTGGTTGTAAAGAAGGACGATGCAAATGCAGGAAAGGAGAAAAGCGGCGGAGGTGGACCAAACTACAATGATGCCTTTAAACACTCTGCGGCTTTGGCGGGTCCTACAAAAGGTCCATATGCTACAGTGCACCCGGACTGGCTTAACCAAGTAATGAACACGCAATATATGATCATGAAAGCTGTGCCTCACTTGTTCAGCGACGATAATCCCTTTGCCTGCTCTATCTTGTGAAAAATTCACCGGCCGCCCTTTATATCTGCATCTGCTTTACCTAAATAAACAGATTAAATTTTCAACTTTTCTTTGCTTTCTTCTCATCTTTAATTACCATCGACCAGGATTAATTGCCACATTACCACTTACTCCCCGTATTATATACTACGTATGCATGTCTTCTTAGTTCTTAATCACATTGTTGGATTGGTATTTCATTAGTCCAATATGTTTACTACTGTATATTTCATCTTGAGGAACACATCTCCTGCCCCACAAAGGTGTTAGACTTTTCCTGATCAATGATAATCAATTTTGATCAATAATCTTTTTTAATGTAAAATTACTTTAAATATGAAAATTATATAAAAAAAATGTTTCTTGTCGAAAATATTTTCATAAAATTATAAGATTCATAAACTATACGGAGTGTATAAATATAATAATAAAAAATGATTGCCCGAAATTTGCCTTCATTGATCAAGAAAAGTTAATATGACAGACAAACCTTTTCAAGACGGATCGGAGGTAGTATATACATTGTGTATGCATGTCTAAAATTGGACACTATAGTTACATATGAATCTCATATTGACCACTAAGGTTTCAAATGGACCAAATCAGATACTATAGTTACGTGTGAATCTCATATTAGTCATCAAAGTTTCATTATTCGTAGTTTTTGGACACTCACGATTCTCTTCTTCCTTTAATAAAAATCGTTAGTCTTATTTTCCGTTTCCCTTAGCTTTTTCCGTTTTGGTGTCAATAAACTAATTTAATTGATGTATAAAATATATTTTAGAATATTTAATTTGAGGTCATAGAATATATAATCCGATTTTAATAAATAAATTCTTATATTTAACAAGTTAAACATATATTTGCAACTTTTCATTCATATGATTTTTATGGAACTTTGGGAAATATCGATTAATTGAATTAGTTTCACATAATTACAGAATTCAATTACATTGTAATAGATTTTCTTAAATGGAACATTTAATTATATATTCTAAATTTAAATACACGGATTAAGTAATTTTTTAGGTACATAAAACCAAGGAAAAAAAGAATACTCACAGCTTTCAAATGTGAAGTCTTTGGTGGGTGTCCAAAAATGATCAGAAAAACGTTATATTTGATCCATTTGAAACTTTAGTGTCCAATATGAGATATGCATGTAACTATATATGGTGTCCAATTTGTTCCATTTGAAACACTAATGTCCAATATGATATTCACATGTAATCATAATGTCCAATTTCACTCTTATCCATGTCTACTTATACAGTACGTTATACTCTGTATGTGTCTATCGTGGAACACAACAACTCAAAGTTTAATACACACATATTCCCATATATCAAACCACCTAAGTTGGTGGGTCAAGCATTTGGGAACACTAATCGGGATTTATTAAAATAAGAGAAAAGTACAATAACGGAAGAGAAGTTCCTTAATAATAACCGTTCTAACCATTATTGTCTCCGTTGAGTATCGCTCTGATGCATCTTGGATGAGTTTGGATCCGGGTCTCCGTCGAGCGTTGCTCCGGTCAAGTATTTTGAAGATGTGATTCTGGTTCCTCCGATGATGTGTTAGAAAATTTCGCTGGCTAAGGTTTGCTTAGATTTTTTAATAGTTCAAATTTTATGTTCAAATGATGATATGAGAGAGATAACTCTCAATATGTTAATTTAAGGATTATATTTCATTTCAATCTGTATTTGGCTTTTCCAATTTCAATATGGATGGACTTCTTGGAGCTCTTTAGCACATTTTAAAATTAAATTGATATGAGTGCAATACAATTTTTTGGTTTCGTAGATGGCTTTAAACCTAAGTCATTCAATATTTGATCGGAAACATGTATTCTTTCTAGCTTTACGGTTTCAAAAGTAGAGTTCCAGACTTGATGGTTAATCTGAAATGGTTTTGATCGTGTTGATTTCAATGTGAAATGGTTATACTGTGAAATAGTCATTCTGAAATGAGCAGCTCTCTGTTGTAATTTGAAGTGGATTCCTTCAAAGTTCCTTGACTGCAATACAGGATCACACGATTCACTATCACTAGCAAATAATATGCATAATCCTTTAACATCAGAAAGTGTTTTCACTTTCGATATTGCATCCCAAGCTTGATGCCCAGAACAATATAAGCTAACTTGCATTAACAAACCGGTTAATGTAGTGTACAACAGCAATGACTGTTTTGTAGTTGTCCATGTTCTAGTATCTCTAAACTGATTTTTTTTTAATTTCAAATGATGAATAATAGGGTATCCAAAGTATATAATGTAGAAGATGAAAGTGTAATGTATTATAAATGAATACGAAATTAGGGTTACAAAGTCTCCATAGGGATTATATATTGAGAGGACGGGCCGGGTCTCTAATATGGGCCCGATAGGCCCAACTACATAAAAAGACTAATCTAGTAGGTACAAATACATATTGAATGGTACAATAATATGAATAATATTCGCTAAGCGTGTGTGGGCCGCTGTCCGGGCCCAATAGTTGTGAGACCCAAGGGTTCGAGTCTATATACTCTATCAGGAGTTCCCCACTCTTAAGTCGAGAGTACTCGAGGTGAAAGGGAGTAGAGCTGTGTGGTGATCTGTCGTGGTGTATGTGGCAAATCTCGTGAAAATTTTGAAATTGTGCTTCTTCGATTAATGAAGGTGCTAAGTCACCCGCTCTTCCTTTCCCCCACTCCTTTAGGTGAATGTAGTGAGGTGAAGAGGAGTAGAGTAGTGCATATCTCGTGATGTCTTTAATAGGGGACGAGGGTCGACGCCTTCTGTCCACGTTGGGGAGATGCCTCGTTATAAACCTCACTAGGAAAAACTCTATAAGGAAAAATCCTAATGAGGGAAAAAGAGTACACGGATGCCCCCAAAACGACTGTCCATATCGATGTCTGGGTCATCAAATAAAGATGACCAACAGTATGGCCGAGAGGCCGATATAAATTCGAAGTTATACGGAGTATTTTTTTTTAGCTTATAATTCGCTATTGGATTTGGGCCTACATTAAGTGGTCTAAAATTTTCAAGCTAAAGCTCAAGCTAGATTTCTATGCTTAGTTGGAGTGTGGCAGGCGCCCAAGCTAGAGAATGACTCTGATAGTTAGGGGGCACACATAGCTCGTACAGAACATAGAAACTAGAATGTGTACTAAATGACATTCGGATAGGGAGCTTATTATCGCCACACCCGTATGACGTGACCCGGTGGTGCAAGATTTCACCACTCTACCGGTGTACGTGAGTGCTCGAAATCATAAGTCCACTTTTTTAATGTTAAAAAAAATATGATAATAAATTAATAATTTAGCTCAACTCGCCACTCAAGTTCCTAGTTCGAATGATCCTAGTTCGAATCCACGAGATGCGCGCTTTTGGGAATCTTTTAACGGATGACTCGCCCTTCGAGATTGAAGTTTGATGCTTTATTATTAATATTTCATTATATTTTTTTCTTTTGCACTTTTGAGTCAATTTAAGCATTTGACAAATTATATAGAAAATTAGAGAAAGAGCACTTAGCTTTTTATACGGGCTGAAATTGAATGTGTTGCTGAATTTGAAGGCCGTTGAAATATTTAGTTGGACGGTCCACTGCTTCCCTCTTGGCCCAAGTTTCCCGGCGAAGCATTTGGAAATTGGAAATGATTCTTCTGCTTCTTTTTTAAAACAGAAGCAGAATCAGAATCAGTTTTCAGAAGATGGTCTCTCTCATCTTCTAAAAACACTAATTCTAGGAGTAAATTAGATTACCAGAATCACTTCTACATTTTCACCCAAACAATTAAACTTCTGCTTCTGCTCCTTGAAGGAGTAGAAGCAGTTTTAAGAATCAGATCCAAACTAAAGTCCACGTCTCAGGCTGGAACTGCTCATCGCGGCTGCCGGGAAAGGAGGGGAGGCGGATCTGATCACAGGGATGAACAGACACCTATTGTCGCCGTCAACAGGAGTGGAAAGCGGCGTTGTTGCTTCCGTCCGGAGAAGGGAGGCCCAGACAGGTCCTCTGCCATCTTCGTCGCCGGCATTGGGTGCTGAGGAAATCTGGTTGTGATTGCGAGCCCTCCTCGCGGCTGAGCTCGGAGATGGGGAATCCTTTACCAGTGAGAGTTCCAGTTTTTAGCAGTGACGGCCCACGCTTGGTCTCTCTACCCGAATATATGTTTCGTTTTTAGTAGTTAAATTATTGTTCTTCTTTTTTTTTGAGAGAGAAAGGGGATTAGCTATTATTAATCAAATCATTGTCAATTACATGAGAAATAAATGACGGAGGATTAGAAAACCAAGATTGAGAATCAGACAAAGAACAGGCCGTCTTAGCAACAACATGAGCTGCCTTGTTCGCTAATCTACTAATATGAGTGAAAGAGATGCTTAAAAAATTCTTTGCAAGCTCTCTAATATCATCTACCATCAAACCGTAGGAAGAATGACTCGAGCCCTTCAAAATTTCAGAGATAGCGCGAGAAGCATCAGACTCCACTGCAATATCACGCCACTCTAAATCTTGCAGCCAGCTTAGAGCCTCTCTAATTCCGAGCAGCTCAGCTTCCAATGCGGAACACTGCCCCTGCCATTTGCGTGCAGCCCCCGTCACGAAAGTACCATCCTTGTCCCTCAAACACCAGCCCAGCCCGCAGTGATCAGCTCGGACAGCAACATCAACATTCAGTTTCATCGTCCCCGCTGCTGGACGGCTCCAGGAAGTAGCCACCTGACCCAACTTGCCACCATCGCCTCAGCCCTGAACATAAATTGACACGTCGGAGAAGAAGTATTCTGCCAGACGCGACGGTTTCTCTCATTCCAAATGGCCCAACAACCCCAAATCATCTTCACCTAGTCATCCTTTCTTCTTGTTTGAAATTCCTTATGTACCTGCCCCAGGAAATCATTTGCACTATGAGCAGTCCATCTCCATCTCACTACTTCCCACGCCTCCTTAGCTACTGCACACGACATAAAAATGTGGGATAAAGACTCCCCCGGCCCATCACACAAGCCGCACTGCCCAGGACAAAGCACACGGCGAGACTGCAGATTATATCTAGTTGGGAGGCTGCCTGTACAAACCTGCCAGAAGAAAATTTTAAGCTTTGGAGGAAGTTTCCAAGACCACATAACCGACCAGTCCTTCTGCTCAGACAAGCTGAAATCCCCGACTAAGAAACGGTAGCAACTCTTGACTGAGAAAC